TGTGTGTGTGTGTTTGTGTGTGTTTAATATTCTGCCTATTTGACTCAAGTTGGCTCACGGAGATTAAAACAAAATTTGTTGTCATTGTTTCATGCCTTTCTGAAAGTTATGATGATCCGATCCTGGGGTTTTCTTGGCAAGATTTGTTCAGAGGAGGTTTGCCCTTTCTTTCCTCTGAGGTTGAGAGATTGTGACTTGCCCAAGGCCACCAGTGGGTTTCATGGCAGAGCTGGGTTGAGTCTCTTTTATGTGGCATTTCAAAATCTGAAATATTCTGAAATCCAGAATCATCCACCTGGGTGGCGGAGTTAGTGACACTTTTGCTTTCGGAGGGTTCAGTGGACCCAAACTTTGCTTCATGCACAAAATTATTACAAATATTGTGTATAAAATATCTTCAGGACCAAAGTTTGGGAATTCCTGGTAGGATGTGGCAGCTTTGCATTTTTTACTTCTTTTGCAGCATTCTGAAGCAAGCTGAGTGCAAAGGGGGAAGTGGGAAGAAAGAAACTGGGACGTTTTAAAAGTATCTGGGAAAGTGGGATGGCAGAGTATTAAACTGCCAAACTGGGACAACTGGAGGGTATGGAGTACTTTGCTGGAAATCAGAAAGTCCCAGGTTCTGAGATCTCTGTTATGCCAAGAATGCGTCAACAGGCGTCGGTTGTGCCCCTAAGCACTACCAGCCCTGGCCCGCCTTACAGGGGTGTTACAAAAGTGACTGCGATAACATCTGTAGAGGAAGTGTGATAGGAAAAACCTTCTTTAAAAATGTTGCAGAGAGGGCATTCCAGAATGTTGTGTTTTTTGCATATATATATGACTTTAAAGGTTTCCAGTCATGTTCCTGCCTCTCTGTTCCATTTTGTTCTATCCAAACCATGAAAGGAACACCTTGCCTGAAAAACCTTGCTTGGAAAGTATTGGAAACTGTAAAAATTGCAATGAGAAATGACTGGATGCTCACCTCTGGTTTCTGTCCTCATGCTGAGAGGAGGGAATCTGGATTTTGAAGGTCCTTTGACCTCCATAAATTAAAGCCAAAAATTCCCATCCCTGAATTTTTAAGGGAACAGGGAGCATCAAAGGGGTAGGAAGTGGATACATCTTTGTCTGGATTTTGAAAGAAGAGGGATGAGGTTTTGCACTTCCTTAAACTCTCCAAAGAGGAGCCAGTGGGGCATAGTGGTTTAGTGTTGGACTACGACTCTGGAGACTAGAGTTCTAATCCTGGCTCCGTCATGGAAACCCAGAATCTACCCCAGCTAGAGGATTTGGGGAGTTATAGTCTCCCTTGGCATAGTAGTTTGAGGGTGGGACTAGGACTCTGGTGACCAGAGTTCGATGTCCAGTTCGGCCATGAGACCCACTGGGTGACCTTGTGCAAGTCACACTCTCTCAGCCTCAGAGGATGGCTAGGGCAACCCCCCTCTGAACCAATCTTGCCAAGAAAACCCATGATAGGTTTGCCATAAGTCAGAAACAACCACAACAACAAAGCTCCCCCAAAGAGTGTGGATCACAGCACATTACTCTACCCAACATTACGTATTTACTCGATGCTTTTTGGAGGATTCTTATGTGAAAATTTGGAATTTTATATTTTTCTGTTCAAAATATATAGCCTACAGTGCCTTGGTCTCTCATCCAAGTACTAAACAGAGCTGGCCCTGCTTCGCTTCCAAGATCAGACGGGATCCAGTGCCTCGGTTAATTGATAACACCACTGTACATTTCCATCCTGTATTATTTATGGAAATGCTGGCATGTCATGCTGCATCGCTGATTAATGGCGCATGCAATTTTAATGCACCCATTTTTTAAAGTTGTGTGATCTCGCTAAGTAAGTGCGTCGTCGTGTGTTTTGTCGCCATTGATGTTCCCAGCTTAACGTGCCTCTTAATTTGTTCTCTCCCTTGCATTGCCATTCTCATTTCCATCTGCAAAACCTCATCCCTCTCCTTGCAACATCCTGACGTCTCTCTTTGATTCGGCTATTTTTAGTTTTGCACACTCTGTGTCTGCGTGTTTTAAAAAAGGACAACATTTTGCACCATAAGAAGGGCTTGGTGGGTCATATTCCACAGGTCCTGACTTTGCAAAAGGGATTTATTAAAGAGATTTATTCGTGATATTGTCAAATCCTGGACGTTATTTGGCTCGGTGCACACATTTCTCTGACTCAGAAAATCTTCAGCTGCATTGTGAACTGAGTACCAGAAATTCCTCTCTGAATCCAAATGTCAAATAATGGTCTGCTTAACATGAGTTTGTGGAGAGGAGCCACTGGGTAAGAAAGCGACTGAATGAGACTGAACAAAAGAAGTTGGAAAAAGCCATCGATTGTGGTGCTGATTCCAGAATAAATTTTAATAAATTAATTAATTTTGGATATCACTTCTCATGCACTAAGGTTTGCATATGCTAGTATACTCCAGGTTACAGTTAGGGTCACTTATGGTGCTTCCCAAACTTTGATCCTCCAGGTTTTTGGACTTCAACTCCCAGAATCCCCAGCCAGCTTGGCCAACGGTCAGGACTTCTGGGAGCTGAGGTCCGAAATACCCGGAGGACCAAAGTTTGGGATCTAATGGCCACACTACCTATTGGTTGTTATGTGCCTTCAAGTCAACTCCAACTTATGGTGAACCTCTCTTAGGATTTTCTGGGCAAGATTTATTCAGACCTTCATCTGAGGCTGAGAGAGTGGGATTTGATGAAGATTTCTTTCCATGGCTAAGTGAGGATTCAAACCCTGGTCTCCCTTGGAAGGCAACACACACTCTCCTTTATTGAAGTTGGTTGGGTGGCCACCTGTTCAGGATGCTTTAGCTGTGAATTTTTGCAGAGGGTTGGACTATATGGTCCCTGGGGTTCCTTCCAACTCTGTGAGTTGCCATCCTGAGAGAGACAGAACTGTTTTGTCTAAAACCTGGATCGATAGAAAGTGGTGTAACCCCTATTCTCATAATAAGAAACAAGTCTAGGTATCAGATCCCTACTGATCTTGGAAGGTAACCTGGGTCAGCCCTGGTTAGTACTTGGATGGAAGTTGTTGGTGTGTGCCTTCATGTCGTCCCGACTTATGGCAACCCTAAGGGTGACCCTATCATGGGGTTTTCTTGGCAAGATATGTTCAAAGGAGGTTTGCCATTGCTTTCCCTGAGGCTGAGAATATGTGACTCACCCAAGGTCACTCAGTAGGTTTCATGGCCGAGCAGGGAATCGAACCCTGGTCTCCAAAGTTTTCATCCAACGCTCAAACCATTTTGCCACACTGTTTTGGTAATACCTCTCCAAACTCCAAATCCAGCCGTTGCATTAAGCTGTGGCATGCCATCAAACTGCATTAATTCTGCAGTGCAGATGCAGCCAAGATAATAATAATAATAATAATAATAATAATAATAATAATAATAATAATAATAATAATTTTTATTTTTATTTATTTATATTTTAAGATGGCAAGTGAGGTCCGACCAGTGAAGGATAGAGTGTTCTCACTACCTTTCTTAAACTGCACCCTAGACTTGTGCTTGAATTGCAGTGACTTTTTCGGCTGTCGCTTTTGCTTGCTGCGCTCTGTAGGCTAATATTTGGCAATCCGGTTTAACTCGTCATTTGGCAGAAGATCCCAATGTTCAATGAAATGTGTTTGTTCACAAACTTATGAAGGACTTGTGCAATGGCTGACTCCTTTAAGATGAAATCCATCCTTCATCTCCATTGACAGCCAGAGTCATAACATTGGACTTCCGACTGGAGAGACCCGGGTTCAACTCTTCCTTTATTCTCCAAATCTGTGAGTCACTCAGACCACCATCTGTCAGCCGAATCTTTTTCCGTTTGCAAACTGCAAAGGATCCTCTTCTGGGTTGTTTATTGCAAAGTGGCTTGTTGTTCCCACAATTTGGTTCGGTTTTATCCCTGGCTTCCTTATCACATAGTTTGGTGAACAAACAAACAAACAAATTTCGGACTGCACAGAATGATCATAAACATCTCTCAAGTTAGGCAATGGATCAATTTCATTTCAGCACATTAAAAACATCTTTCCTTAGAGCTAATGAGTAAGACGTTTCCACCCTTTTGCTGACTTTTTAAGCAAAAATTATTTGGGAAAGGCTCTCAGTGCAAATTATTTTCGGTCGCCAATCTATTTGCTCCTGACTTTAGTTTGCCGGACTAAGATTTGTCTGTCTGTGTCTGTGCTAAGCTCTCTAGCAGATTATCCAAAGCTGGTGTTAGCTTTTGCAAATAGATAGTAAATTAGCAAGGAGGGCGATGCTTCTAATATTCTGGCAGAACAAGGTTTTGTATGGCGTGGTATTTTGGAGTTGGTTTGAACGGTCCCTTGTTTGTTTCTGACCTCTCTTTCTCTCGCATATCCTTGTCTTTTAAGGCATCTACAGCTTTAGACCTAACCTGTTTTGTAAACGGGTAACGGGAGATTTACAATGTTTTCTCTAGCTACGCTAACCACTGTTCTCTGAAATATGTAGCTTTGGATTAGGGATGGGTAAGCATTTCATTGCAGTAGAGATTTTTCTTGACAAGAAAATGCAACACTACCCTCCAATTTCTTCATATTTGGGATGGGAAGAAGTTGGGATTTTTTAAAAAAATGCACGATAAACCAAAATGGACAGATTTATCCATCCAAGGCTTAACTTTAAGGGATCTGGCTTGGAAGTGTTGTGTTTTCTATCCTGTTAGGGCTGAATTTGGATGACTTGTTCTTTTTCTTTCCCGACTTGATCCTCATTTGTTGTTGTGACTTTTGGTGACCCTATGTATGTGTTGTGTGGCTTAAGTTCTTTCCAACTTATGGCAACCCTAAGGCCAACTTATCATGGGGTTTTCTTGGTGAGATTTCTTCGGAGGAGGTTCACCTGAGGCTGAGAGTGTGTGACTTGCCCAAGGCCGCCCAGTGGATTTCATAGCCAAGCTGGGAATTGAACCCTGGTTTCCAGAGTCATCGTCCAACACTCAGACTACAACCCTAAAGTATTGTGGGGTTTTCTTGGCAAGATTGGTTCAGAAAGGGTTTGATTTTGTCTTTCTCTAAAGAGGGCTGAGAGAGTGTGACTTGCACTTGCCCCTCCATTCTGGAAATTTTGCACGCATCGATGCTTGCATTTCCATGTGTTTTTATGATTTAAAAATAATCTGGTTGCTTTTCATCGTTTCAAAATAGGGCTAGTCATGGGAAATGGGGTAGAAAGGGATTAAATAAGAATAATGCAATGCAAAAATAATCATGCCCCCAAGAAATCCCTGAGCCGACCCTAGCAAATATCTGAGAAGAGAGATATTCCTGCATCATCAATGCTTTGGGGAGGAAAAAAACCCAAAAGTATTTGACAGAGCTACTAAGAAGAAAACACCATAAATAGAAAAGGACTCGAGGGAAGGAAAAGTAGACATTAAAAACAAAGAGGGAAAGAATCCCGAACTGACAAGAGCCGACAGGTCTGTTCTGTTTGATTAATTTTGGAGGAACTTTGTTTGCAAGAAGGCTGAAATGAGAATCATTTCTCTTTTCCGTAAGGTTAAATCGGATGCGTTCCAGTCAAAGATACTGGGTCTAAGCATTTTGGAAAGAAACCGAGGAACAGAAAGACAGAGAGTCACGTTGGGTGGGTGCAAATCCAAAGGAGGTTAGCCAGGCAATTCGGTATTCTTGCACTTGGCCTAGTATTATGCAACTGATCTGGTTTTGGGTTTTTTTGCAAAATGTTATGGAGGTAGGTGTGGAAATGTTTGTGTTTAAGGGAAAACAAAGGTGGAGATGGAGAGGGATGTTGCGAGAGCCAGTTACTCACTTCTGTAGCATGCATCTCTCGGAAAAACAAATCCTACTCCTATCCAAGAGTTGCCAAGTCAAGCGCCTTTCTCTCTCTGAGTCCTTTCAGACTACACAAGTATGGCACTATGGTTGCACTATATAACTGCTATGGGTGCATCCTATGCAACCCTGGGATTTGCAGTTTAGGGAAGGGCACTCAGCTAGAGAGCTCTTAGTGTTCTCTCCACACTACAAACCCCAGCATTCCTTCCATAGGAGGCAGCCATGGTAGGTAAGCATGTCATCTTGGCTTCCAGGCTTGATCTCTTCCCAAACCCATGGGTTTGTCTTTTTGGCTGTCCATGGTATCTTCAGTACTCTTCTCCCTCTCAAATGAATTTTCTTTTTATCCGCTTTGTTCACTGTCCAGATCTCACATCCGTACATGGTGATGGGGAAAATACAGTGGCTTGGACGATCCTCGCTTTGGTGCTCAATTGTATATCTTTACATTTTAGGATCTTGTCTATTTTCTTCATGACCACCCTTCCCATTCCTAGTCTTCTTCTTGACTGTAATCTCCATTGTGATCAATGTTTGATCCTAGATACAGGAATCCTTTTAACTACTGTGGGCCCTAGGTATCCGCTAGGATTTGGTTCCAGGACCTCCCATGGAGACCAAAATCCATGGATTTTATGCCATTACACACAATGGCATAGCAAAATGGTGACCCTCATATAAAATAGCAAATTCAAGGTTTGGATTTTTTTGGGTGGAAATTTTATCTTTTGGGGATATTTTCAAGGCATGGATGGTTGACTCCGTGGATAAATATAAAATAGCAAATTCAAGGTTTGGCATTTTGGGATTTGTATCTTTTTGGAATATTTTCAAGCTATGGATGGTTGACTCCATGGATAAATATAAAATAGCAAATTCAAGGTTTAGCGTTTTGGGATTTTTATCTTTTTGGAATATTTTCAAGCCATGGATGGTTGATTCCATGGATAAAACATCTGTGGACATGGAGCACTGACCATATTTCGATTTCCTTATTGTCTGGGTTGAATTTGTGTCGTTCCTCTGTGGTCATTGTTTTTGTTTGTGGCCACATCATGAAGTTTCCCTTCGCTCCCCAAATTCCTAGCATTGCAAAGAGCGAGACGCTGAAAATCCTTCTGTGCCAAATGGGGCAAATAGCTAGCCGAGATGTCCACCATGGTCAAGAAGAATATTTATGGGGGGGGGGTTTCAATGCCTTTATGATGCCCTCCCATAGCTGTCTTTCCACTCCATGTCTAGTTTTCAAGGAAACAGGGAGCGTATGCACCAATGCACGACAACCCAGAGGGTTCGACTCTTAGCAGCAGCTTGCCCATAATGTCATATAGGGACAGGCCGCCTAGAAGGGCCGTTGTGAGACCACCGTAAAATAGGTTGAGACGGGAGCGTCTGCTGTGCTTGGCTGTCCTTTCCTGCCCTCCAGCAGCAGAAGCAGAAGCAGAAGCCAGAAACTTAATCCTATCCGGAAGTGCCATGTGCCCAGACTCACCCATCAGTACCAGCTGTCTCTGTAACCCCAATGATTCCTAGGCTGCGTCTACACTGCAGAATTAATGCAGGTTGACACCCCTTTAATTGCCATGGCTCCATGCAATGCAATTCTGGGATTTGCAGCTTTGTGAGATATTTCAACTTCTCTGTTGGAGAGCTCTGGGGCCATAACAAACTACATACCCATAGGACTCCGCCAAGGCGATTAAAGTGGTGTCAAACCGGATTATTTCTTCAGTGCAGATGCATCTGATGTCACTTGCAGCTCCTTGCTCCCCGGCTTTTCTCCTTTCTTCAGAGATGACCACTCGCTTTGACACCACACAGTTGTAGCACTGCCTTGGGTGCATCCCGTGCAGTCTTGGGATTTGCAGTTTAGGGTGGCACTAGAGCTCCTTGTTTGAGAATTCTAGGTTCCCTTCTCTAAATGGCAAATCCAAGGATTTCATAGTATGTTGCCATGGCAGTTAAAGTGGAATCGTAGTGCTATAACTGTGCAGTGTGCCCTCTTTCCAGCAAGGACTCTTGATATCCGCTTCCAACCATCCACCATTTCTTGGAGTTGTTGTTGTGTGCCTTCAGGTTGTTTCTGACTTATGGCGTCCCCTAAGGTGATCCTATCCTGGGGTTTTCTTGGCAAGATTGTTCAGAGGAGGTTTGCCCATTGGCATCCTCTGAGGCTGAGAGTGTGTGACTTGCCCAAGGTCACCCTGTGGATTTCATGGCCAAGCTGGGAACTGAACCCTGGTCTCCAGAGTCATAACCCAACACTTAAACCACACTGGACCTTTGGCCATATGGGAAGTAGACAAGAAAGGGGAAAGGCTTCCATTCCTCCATGAAAAATTATCATCATAACCAGGAGAGAGGGGGAAAAAAATCCAAATTTCCAAGCAGAAGCCCCCTGAGGCTGGCGCTTCAGGAATCAAAGATGTGGCAATCCAGAAGCAGACAAACAAAATGGTTTTCTTCCTCTGGGGAGCCCTTGCCCTTCAAGGACAAGTGGGACACCCAAGGCGCTCCTGGCCACTTTCCAGATTATTTTGGCTGGCGGGTGCGCTTGAGAAATCGGAGGCTGTCTCCAGATAATGAACGACAAACTCTTACTGTTATCCTTTTTCCCCCCCCAGTCTGGCCTTAGCAATGTTCTCCTTGCCATATTTGTCTGGAAGTTTTCTGCTTTTGGACCAGGAATGCCTTTTGACATTCTGTGCATGCTTTGCATCTTCTCCTCCTTTGCACCTCTCCAACATTCCCCCTTTCAAGAGGCTTGTTTGTGCCAAGTGCGAAATCTGGAATGGACTCACTATATACAATAGAAGCAGATATGGAGGGATATGGTCAACCATCGAACATTGCAACAATTGTTGTGGTTGTGTGCCGTTCCGACTTACGGCGATCCTAAAGCGAACCTATCGTGGGGTTTTCTTGGCAAGATTCGTTCAGGGGTGTGTGTGTGTGTGTGTTGCCTTTGCCAGCCTCTGAGGCTGAGAGAGTGGGACTTGCCCAGGGTCAGCCAGTGGGTTTCATGGCCGAGCGGGGAATTGAATCCTGGCCTCCAGAGTTGTAGTCCAACACTCAAACCACGATGCCACGTTGGATCTCAAAGCTACATACCCAAGTGTAATTCGTGCCCCATTCAGATGTAAGGGAAAGGAGAACAAGTGAGGGGGTAAACTAGGATCACAAGGTCACCCAATGGGTTTACATGGCCGAGTCGGGATTCGAACCCTGGACTTTGGATTCATAGTCCCAACGCTCAAACCACTAGACCACGTTGGCTCTCTCTCAGCCCCCTGGATTTCATAGGGCTTTCTTAGACAAAGAATACTCAGAGGTGGTTTTACCAGTGCCTTCCTCTGAAATACAACCTACAGCACTTGGTATTTGTTGACGGTCTCCCATCCAAGTACTACCCAGGGCTGACCTTGGTTAGCTTCCAAGATCGGACAGCACCTGGTGCCTTTAGGGTACTTAGGCCAAATTTTCCAATAGTTTCCTGGCAAAAAAGCCCGGCGAACTAGGAGAATTTGAGCGAGAATGACCAGCCCAAGGTTGCCTAGAGAGCTTTGTGACTCAGTGTGGACTACAAAGATATAGCTGCGTTAGTCTGTAGAATCAGTACGTAGAGAGATCTTGTCTCAAAGGTGCTACTAGATCTCTCTACATACAGTGTGGACTCAAAACTTTGCTTCCCAAGTCTCAGCCCATTGCTCTGACCATGGCAAGGATAGGATAAACCTTCCCAAGTGTTGCAATGGAAGGACAAATTGAACAGTGGCAATGGCATGGTGACATTTGCTATCTAGAGAGCCAGCATGGCGTAGTGGTTTGAGCATTGGACTATTACTCTGGAGACCAGGGTTCGAATCCCAGCTTGGACACATAAACCCACTAGATGCAAGTCACACTCTCTTAGCCTCAAGGGAAGGCAGTGGCAAACCTCCTTGGAACAAATCTGGCCATGAAGACCCCATGATCGGTTCCCCTTAGGGTTGCCATAAGTTGGAAATGACTTGAAGGCACACAACAACAAGGACAACGACAAACAACAACAGGACTCTGCCAAAGGCTAGAGCTGGCCTGGAGTCAACAACATTTGTTTTCCAATGTCTGTCTTGATACGCAATGTGCCTTCAAGTCACTAGTCAACTTATGGTGACCCCATGAATTTCAGAGTTAGCATTTCTTTCTTTTGCAGGAAGCAAGGTCAGTTTGGAAAGGCTGGTCCGAATAAACTGATTTATCTCTGACAACAGAAAGAGGACAAGTTAGGCTAACCACCCTTAGCAGAGGCTTTCCAGAACCGTGTCAATAACAATTTCAATTTCATATGAAACTTAGAATTTGGCCGCCAAAGAACATTCATCTTCTCCTCCTGTTTTTTCTTCTTCTCCTTTTTAATTGCAAGTAAGCTGTGTTGCATAATTTGCACAGGCTGCCAGAACGCAGTGTTTTTTTGGCACGCAATTCAGGTTGGGAAAAAAAATCATTTTTTAATTGCTGGATGCTTCCCAGCTATTCATTCCCCAGGATCCTGACTGTTTGGACTTGATAGAAAGACCCGCAGCTTCATGCGGACTCCAAAGGGGTCTTAAGTATGGGATGCATTGCACCCCTGCCTATGATTTTTGCCCCTGCAAATGAAATTTCCCTTCACTCCCCTAATTTCTAACATTGCAGAAATGTAAAATTTGAGTGGAGCCCTTAGAGAGGTATAGGCACCCAAAGAAAAGGGAAAGGCAAAGTGACCGAGGGAAGGTGGACACGGCAAATTCGATGTGAATGTTTTCCACTGCAGGAGAATTTCATAGGGTGAGGCAGAACTCATATTGGGAGGAAGGGTCTTCTTTTTTGCCCCCTTGGGTGAGTCACACTCTCTCAGCCTTAGGGGAAG